AACCCCTAAACCCCTAAAGCCTACAAGAGGGTGATGGTTCCTTCATTGTTGCCACATGCAAGGCTTGAAGCCCTGAACCTTGCAGTCAAGGGGGTGAGGGTTTGGGGGGGTTTAGGGGGGTTTAGGAGGGTTCAGGAGGGTTTAGGAGGGTTTAGGGTCTGGAGGGGTTTAGGGTTTAGGGGATTTAGGGGTCTAGGGAGCTGCAACGACATCGGATAAGGATGTTTAGGGGTGAGTGTCATCAAAAGGGATCGGTGTGCCCGGGACTGGATCAAAATCATGATCGTGCTTTGGCATCTTCCAAACATCACCAAATTACCAACAAAACCCCGCAAGAGACTGTGAGTTTGACCCGGCCAAATGCTGACAAAGGTAGGGTGTGGGGCCCACGACAGGCTACTGAAGTGAGGGTAGATGAGTATCCCTCCTTGCGGGGTATTCTGATTAGTACTACTATCATTATTGCTATTATTATGACTCTTGCTATTTTCGCTAATATTTTTATTACGAGTAGTAGTACTATTTCTATTGCTATTATCCTTACTATTATTAATACGTTTGGTATTAGTACTATTCACAATCCCTAAACCCTAAACCCTATAGGGATCCTAATCCTGGGGAAGAAGATGTCGCCTCGACCCTTGCTGAGGTGCATCATTGCCGGGTGATTGTTGAGGCCTGATTGCCAACCATACTGCGAGCAACAAATGTAAGGGGTTTAGGGTTTAGGGTTTTAGGATTTAGGGTTTAGGGGTTTAGGGTTTAGGGGTTTAGGGTTTGAGGGTGTAGGGTTTGGAGTTTAGGGACAAGGGACACATGTTCCTCTTTCTCCTCCTTTGCCACTACCTTTCCAAGTACTAATGGACTTCCCAGAAGTTGGGATGTCAAGGTTAGCGGTTTCGTGTTTAAGGTTTAGGGCTAGCAGCGTATGGCACCGTTGCGATCAACACTCTTTTTCTTCTTGCAGGCGAGTACAATTACATCGTGTAAGTGCCATGTTTTTCCATGGCAAGGAGGGCTAACATTCCCGCACGGCTAGACAATGTGCTCAGCCCAAAGGAAGTAGAAGTCTGAGCGGCTGACAAGTGTTGAGTAATTGGTATGTGAGTAGCTTTTTAGTGGCTGAACCAAGTAAGATTATATGCGTCTTATGAAATACTATGCATGAAAAGAGGATACACTCACCTTCTAGATGGGGAACGATACGTTCCCGTAAAACACATTTTTTCCGTTCAAGACACATCCGTTTTCGGACGCACACCACATCCTTTTGGGATGCAGCCACATAATTTTCCGACGACCAGAACCATGGCGATGCGGAGAGATCCGTCTGTGCCAGGAACCATGACAGGTTAACACAGATCTGCCAGACCTGTCTCAGCTTCGCGCTGGCTGGTAGCAGGGACGGAATGGAGGAATGGATCCTTTCCGTAGCCCCCGTGTATAACCCTTAGCCCTTAACCATATAGCGGTTGTCATGTTCTTTTCCATTCCTCCGTTTCCTTAACACTCAGCAGATCTTCGTGTGACAGCCGAACGCCTTCGGCGACGGTCACACGCCCCACAAGGAGACTGAGATGCAACGTCAAATGAACGCCTGTAAAACCTCGGTCAACAGTCAAGATTTAGTGTTTGGGGTTCGGGCTACTTGCAGATGTATGCAGGGGACAATGGGGAAAAAAAGCTAAAGGTTCCCCAAGATTCCCAAGAAAACCACCAAGAGCTGTGTGTTCCATTGGGCTTCCGGGAATGCCTTGAAGAGCCCTGCAGTACGGAAGTAGAATGCGACTCGCATAGCGACATGCTGGCCCCCAAACACTGAACCCTGAGCCTATGGTCCATGTCTTGACTTCAATAGCACATAGCACAACCGACCACAAAGCCCAACTGTATGTTTTCAACATCAAGCCCAAGCATGCTTGTTGGGCTCAAGGGACGGGCTCCTTTGTAAGGAGCATTCCAACGTCATGTTTTTCCACCAGAAGTTCGTCCTTCGCCGAAGGCTTTTCCTTCACGACCTAGGCTTGGACAAGGCTCGTAGGCATTAGGCTACACATCTACTAGGTTGCTGCTAAGGAACTCGATTTAAGTTACTGCAGTTAAGTACTATGTATACCCATTATGGTGACTTAATCTTAGTTCATTAACAACAACCCAGTCTAGGAGTTTGCTGCTGTAAAGGCCAAGGGTTCAGGAGTGCAAGGCTCCGACGTTTCGGGTTTGGGCGTGGGAAGGTCCAAGGCTTCATCGGCAGCCCAAGCAAAGTTGCCTGACCTCTCAATTGAGTAGCATTTTTTTCGTGGTTGAACCTAGTAAGATCATATTCCTTGTATAAAATGCTATACCCAAAAGGAGGATATAATCTTACTCTATATTGGGTACCATAGTTTCCCCAAATAAAATACTACTCAGATGAAAAAGACAGTGGCGAATGGAATGGAAAATGGAACCAACACTGGGATAATAACCGTAATATTAAAACCCCAATATAACCATTTTGGGGAACCTTTTGGGAGTCTGGGTTGGGGAAGGTAACCAGCAGCCAGTTTCTCATCCAGATCTGCAGTGCCCTTCAGGAAGAACCTCTGCGAGTCGCCATCGCCCTCGCTGCCATATGAGCTACAGTTCATGTTGCTTAGACTATACTGGGGACTATACTAAACTGCCAAAAGGAGCCCCATGTCCAGTGTTCAGGCTCCCACTAGCTCATATGAGGTGTAGTAGGGCTTTGGACTAGGTCCAGGTCTGCTTATTGCGAAGCAAACATATTCTTCAATCTCACACGTACTATACGAAGCTTTAGGATATTGTCTGGTTATCACTTAGGTTTTCCTGTCTAGGTTTAGGATGCGAGGGTTTAGAGTTCTAGGCATCGGGGCTCACGGGTTGAGGGTACAGAGGTTCATGATTGCCCCCATTTGGTGGTTTAGGCTCCAGGGTTAGAGAGGGTTAATAATGCACGGGCGGCACTTCGCAAAGGCCAGCAAGCGTGGAGCAAATACAACTTTGGTGCTCAGGAACCCGAAAAATGTCGATCAGTATCTTTACGGAAGATACAATTTGCAGCTCCTCCGCACTGAGTACCGTCACGCACCCAAGGTATGTACAGAAAATATCTTCCAGACGACTTACATGACAACCCTGGCTCACCCCGTTTACCTGTAACCATCCCTTTTTCGGGATGCTGTGAACGTGTTAGCACACCTTGCAGTGCATCTTGTTCTGCCAGTTTCTGCAAAATCTCATTCAGACACCGAAGGATAGCCTAGGCTACACTTACAAGAACAAGCCTCAGTTTCGAAGAAAACTTTCAACCACGGTCGCCACAACAATCCTCAAGTTCATACCTCATGGAACAACTGGTGAAACATTTCAGCCCCAACGGTTTCCTTCATGCCGTGATGGCCACAGACCAATCCGGCAACTCCGTATAACACTAGAATCATGAAGCCCCAAACATTCAACATCTAAAGCCTGCTGCCCATGCACCCCAATAACCCAAATACCCCTCACTTGAACCCATGAGCTGCTTTTCAGAGTGCCCTGAAACGACAACAGGACTATTCCGCAGTTCTGGGGGATGGGTCCTTGACGGCCTCCCCCTTTGCTTGAGTCCATGCACTCTCTGAGCCCCGAATCCGCCAACCCTTGTCACCTGTAAACCTCAAAGCCCTGAATCCTAAGAAATTGAAACCAGGTTCCACAAACCCCGAAAAAACAAGCCCTGCCACCCCAAAAACTCTAACAACCCTGAACCCTAAAGTGCGTGCCTGCTTCTTGGATTCCTTCCGCCGTTCGCGGCTGCGGCTGCGGCTCCTCCCCACGGGCAGTTCCGGGCTCTTGCAGGAAGATAGATGATGTGGCTTTGCAGGAGCTACGGCTGCGGTGCATTGGGATTGTATAGATCTTTCAAAGTTACATATCTGAAAGCTTCTGGCAATACTACGTAGAGCCACTGCTGCTGCTGCTGGAGGTAAAGCGAATGCGAATAGAAGAATTGCATGGTAGCAGTCGTCGCAGTAGCAGTTGCAGGAGCTGTCGCAGCAGCCGTTGCAGCGGCAGTAGAAGGTGACTTGATCTAATTCACACTGCTCCCCTCAAGCAGGATCAGGTCCTGCTGCGATCGCGTGCATCATCCCAGCAGCGTCGGCGAAAGTGCGTCATCAACGCTCCTGATCTTTTCGGAGTCCCCTCAACAATATACTTCAGCATGATGCCCAGAGAGGAACCCGCATTTTGGCATCCCCCATGCGTCTGGGAACGTTTCTTATGCTGACAGGAGCATGCATGATCCTATACCCTTGAACTTCAGTCTATAAAGTGTACTTGGGGGTCATACATTCTTCTCCGCCAACAGTGGCCTTCAGAGCATATGTGCCATGTGAACGTGACTCGGATCAAGTCTATCTCCATAAAATGGGGAGGTTGCCCAAAACTAGGGGTCCTTTCTTGGGGTCGCAATAAGGATCTACGTATGGAAATTACCAAGTTCCCCCATAATTTGGACAAAAGGGAAACATGACCATCATTTTGCCCTTTGTCTCAATGATGTCCAAATAGTCAACATGCGCTCCACATTTTTTGCCGGTGACCCTAAAGAGTCGCTGCCTCTGTACGGCGTTCCATGTTATCTCAGGGAACAGAAGAGCAATGAAGGGACCCCTATGGGCCCTCTATGGTCTCCTGACATGGGACCCCACAAATTATGGAGTTTTCATAGGGCTTCCTAGCGCAACCCAGACTCTGATGAGGCTGATCTCCGGGAATTGCTGGAAAATCTCTTGCCACTTTGCTCGTAAGCATCTGCCAGTTCCGGGCCGAGCTGCCTCGAAACAAGGAGTATATAGGGGTCATATGGCATATGTAGGGTGTGGGGGCTAAGGGAGATTACCCCAATAGTTGGGAATCTAATGGGGGATCTAATGGGACGAAAATGGAACATGAAATGAACACCGGGATGATATGCAGTGTATGGGACTGATACTAGAAAAGCCAGAGAACATCTCAACAAGAAAAAAGCCGGGCTTTCAAAGTCATGGACCGGTTTGCATGGGGCTCCTGGCTGGCTCATTGTGAAAACCATCAGACTCTATCTGCATGAGCTTTCTGAATCTTAACTTTCAGAAACATCCACCTGAGTCTAACACTTGTCTAAAAGGCTGAAAATGTGTACCATGGGCCTCCACCAGGGCAACCCGAGAGAGCAGCGTGATGAATTGGCACCTTAATCAGCAATGGCTGCGCGAGGCTGTCTAAAAGAGTTGTGCCACGTCATAGTTCATTCAACACTCGAAGCATTCTCAACCGGCAAGATGTCAGTTGCTGGAAATTCAATCAACTCTGTATCCCCCGAATACCACGGAAAGAGCGTGGCCCCTACAACAGCATACCCGAGTAGAGGGATCCCGTTTCTTTAGCCGCCAAAACATCTTCATTCATCAGAAGAAATTCATGGTGCAGGTTCATCGGCAATCAAGCAGTTTCTCTGATTCGCCTTGCTGGGGCTCCAGTTCCACAGTGGCCCTTCAGGGTAACGAAGCCCGCCTCAACCGTCTAACACCAAACCGCGTAGATCCCATAAACCCAGGAACCCGAAACCCACAAGATACTCAAGCCTGACAGAGTCCAACCACCATACCCCAATCCCTGAGCCGTCCAATCCCAAGATTCGCCATTGGCTTAGGGTTACGGCTTTTAGATCCAACCTGACTTCCTCTACATCCCTACTTGGAGGGTCACGGGGACTTAGTAAGTGGCTTGATATTGGGGATAACTGAGGTTACTATATGAGTTGTAGGGGTTATTAGCCTACTTAGTAAGCCCCCCTGACCCTCCCAGTAGCAACTATTAGACACCAGTTGTTGTAAGGTGCTGTGGACCAACAACTTGGCACATGCCCTCCCCCAGACAGCCTCCTTTATCAAGCGCACTGGTCTGCATGCCCCCTTTCTTCCAGTCCCTTATATATAAACCCCTATATGCAGAGCAGGGTACTTGGCGGCTCGACGTCCGCTATCAAAGGCACTTCTCATGGAATCTTCTGCAAAAAGCGCAAGCCTTCAATGTACAGTTTCAGATTCTGCGATAAAGGTTTCAGATTAGAGTGCAAGCAATAGGGTTTTGGTATTAAGGCTCAGAGTTCGGGGCTTAGGGTTTCAATGCACGCATCGCGTCGCGCTGCGATGGACGTGGAACCTTCAGCAAGACCGTCAACACCCACCAAGAGAGGCCCCTCAAAATCCTGCAAAAGTATGTTTTTTTTTGCTCAGGCTCCCGCTTGTGGATTCTTTGGGCTACGATTGCTGTGAGCCACATTGGGGGTGCCGCGAATAAAACGGCGAATGATGGAGCCTAAATGATTACCAGTATCACTTTGAGGTCTATTATATAGAAGTATATCTACCGTGATTGCACAAGGCAGTTACAAGGCATCCAAAATCAGAATGAGGGAGATTGCTTAGGCCTTGTATTGCCAACTTGGACCATCAGGTGTCAAATGCCTCCGTACTGTATCGGAAGCTTCCAAACTCTCCAAAAAACCTAGCCATCCTCCTCCGCTGTAATCTCATTCTTGCATATCTCCACGACAGATGAAAACATCCCATAGTAGCCCCACATCTCTAGAATTGGGTTTGGTGTTCATCTTAAGTTAAGGTGCATTCAGGATTTGATTCCGGTTAGCTGAAGGACCCTAACAGTGGTGACTAAGTGAAGCCAAAGACGGTAATCTATATGTTGGACTCTTGGACCTCCTTTAGTCTTGAGGTCCCTAGGAGGTGTATTGGAGCCGGGATCAGGGATAATGATTGTGAGGTCAATCTGTTGCGAGTGTGGGGCCCTAAAACTCTAGGAAGTTTTTCGACGACGACGACTGCTACTAGTACCAGTAGTACCAGTACTACTACTTGTACCAGACCTCAGGGGCCCTCTTGAGGGCCGTTAATCTGTTTTTCTGGTGGCCCTGTTCTTAGAGGGGAACCTTAACAGAGGGAGCCACATTACCCATCACCACTATCATGCCATTCAACTACAGTGATCCTAGGCTTTTGAGGGTTCATATAAACCACAGTCAATACTCCTTATACAGCTAATGGACATGGGCCCTTATTAGGGAATATATTAGGGATTATACTAAACTACAAGAGGGATCCCTATGTCCACCCTTAATGGTCCCTTGGTATCCCCAGTATTGACAATAGCTCATATACTCCGCAAGGGATATGAAGCCCAGCATCAGGTCATCAGCATCGAACCACTCGCGGAGAAGGTCTGGTGGCGAAATGCCATGCCAGGTCAAGCTGTACCTTACTTGGAGGTCCATTGTACTTATAACCTACTTAGTGACTGTAGTTATAGCCCAAATATAAGTTCCATAATTGTAGTTACCCTAGATATAATTGGGTTATATCTACAGTTACTAAGTAGGTTATAAGTACAATGGACCTCCAAGCATCTAAGGATAAAACCATGGGCCCCTGGTAAGGGCCCTTAACCCCGGGATCCTCACATACCTGGTATTTATCCTCTGTATCCTTGAGGGACACTGGAACCGCCCTGAGAAGAGGGCCGATCACCTACCTTGGACCTCAGGCGTCACGCATTGGCCTAACTAAGGGTTTCAGGTTTAGCAGTTTTAAGGATAATGCGGGAAACCCCGATCGGGCTTTGAGGTCTTGTCTAAGACGGAGAATGCACGGGTGATGTCTGGCTGAGAATGGGAGAATACACAAGCCATGTTCGGCTGTTAATGGCTGCGCTTGCTGACAACTTTGGTTTCTCCCTTGGCGCTAATTTCCAGAGCTAAGCCTTGGGTTGCGGTTCTGGGTTCTGGTAAGGAATCTAAATTCAGTCCCCGGATATGATATATATTTTTTCATAGTAACTACATGGTTTCCTTGCAATGGTATCTCACATAAGGTTCCTTGTGGATGCAAATCTACAATTAAGGGTAACTGACCTCAAGAAACTTGGAGTAAGTTCCAGTCCCCTACACCCTAAACCCTGAACCCTAAACCCTCTATACAAAACGTTGCAAAACTCGAACTTTAGAGGTCCAGTTCCTGAGGGGTGTAGCGTTTGCTTGCTGCAAATAGAGGTCCCGTCTAGGGTTTTAGGGTTTTAGGGTTTACGTAGGGTCTTTGGGGGGACTGTTAGGGGTTTATGGGAAACGCGTCTTGTGCTCTGTGCATGGTAGCACACTCGTAAGTAGTCTAGTCAAGTTGCTTCATCAGCAATGTAGAAGGAGACCAACCAAATCATTTCTTCATCATTTTTCCGGACCAAACTAGCAACTTGAGGAATTTGAGTGGGTTGGACTTCGGGATGTAGCAGGCACATGACCCAGAGAGGAATCCCAAACAGGAGCAGATCAATGCCTATGGACTGCACCCCGCATGCCAGTCAGTAAGGTAACCAACCCCCTGGGAAATCTGGTGGGGTCATGCCGCGCGTTGTCCAGCAACAAGCCTGCATCACTGCATCCTAAATATCTCTTGTGCCCTAAATCAGCCTAAATCCCTTATCCTTCTTGGAAAAAAAAAGCTTTCGTATCACCCCTATATCCCTAAACCCCGGTCTGATCCCTAATATACATCCTGGCCCGACCTGTGCCAGGCTCCCAGGTCCCAGGTACGGACCTCTTGAGACAACGTGGCTTCGAAGCATTGGCGGACAGGCGCCTCCAAAAGAGAATTCCACGTTGGATGGTTCTCCAAACTATAATCCAACCCCTATATAATCCCAATATTACCCCTATATAACCGCATATAATCCCTGTATAACCCCTATATAAGCCCTATATGATCAGGAGATTTGTGGAGTGTCTGGTGACTTCCGCGTCGGGGCTCCATGTTTGAGATCCAATGCTTGGAGCGTTGGTGACTTCGTAGCAAAGCTCTTTGAAATGGGAAGGCTTTGCTTTGGGGTTAGGGTTTAGGGTTTAGGGATTTAGGGTTTAGGGTTAAGGCTTTAGGCTTTAGGGTAACCCCAAACCCCAAAATAGAACATGGGTATAGTTACATGATAGACAATGGGGACTTAAGTTTGAGGGTTGGGCTTTCTGAAAGCCGCTTGCTAAGCTAATTATACTGGAAACACCTAAACAGAATCATAATCCGAGCCATCTGCGTTCTTGACCTGAATTCCTTTGACCTTCCAATTCCCGT